TAGGGGGCCCGCCCTAGGTGTTTTGTGGCCCTGTGAGCCCGCTAGCGGTAGCCTTGCTTTTCCTCGCTGGGGCACAAGCCACACTCACGTAAAAGCACGTTTAAAGGGCGGTGTTATCGGAGCATTGGCAAACGTCACATACGTCGGAGCGCATTGGCTGAGTCTAGACATACGTTGGCTGTGGAAGTGCGTTGACTTATGATCTGTTTTTGCCAATATAGCACAGTGTATGCGCGCGTCGATCCTACGTTGAACCATAATCGCACCTTACCAGTATCTAAAAACATCAACAACAACAACAAAAACTAGCGCGCTATGCTCGTGTTGTCATTAATATGGCCAAACCAAGTGCTTCTTGTTTTCCTCCATATAAAAAGCTCGTTTAAGCAAAACGTTTACTCGATGAACGTGATAACAATTTTAGGCATTGAAAAGCTCATAATGGCACGAACCTCAAAATAAGCGCTTATAGGCACAATAAATATGTTATTAAAATGTTTACCATTTCTTAGTTTGTGTTTATATGTGAAATAGGCTCACAACAGACTCCAGGGAAAAAAAGGAAAATTTGCCTAAAGTTTCGGTCTTCACTAACGAAATCTTGATAATTAGAGAAGCACTTTTGAAGACAAAATTATATAGAGATTTTTAAATAATTATTTTTTTCAGAAAAATTTGAAGTTGCTACTGCAGCATGCTGAGAACAATACGCAAAAAGTCTGGTTCGCATAACGCCATTCCTCTTTTTTAATTGTGCTGCGAGATATTCGAGACACCTTGCACATAAACAAATGTACCTGGTCATAGGCAAGCAACATGCAGGAACAGAAAGGGCAAATTCAGGAAAGATGTAACACACATAGACAACTCAAACAAAGCCCTAGTTCTTTGCCTGGAAGCGCTGATACCTCGGAGCCTATACATCTTGCTGATACTCTTAACAATTGCACACAAGCATGCTACATAAAATAATGTTCATAGAATGATATTTTTTGAGCTTAATTTCCAAACTAGGAGGACAAATTCAACATTCGTTATGTTATATTTGCTGTTGGCCATTAAAACCATTTTGTAAACGAAAAAAAAATAAGTTCACGCCACTAGTATTCTTCCCCATTTCGTTTCTTCTTTTTTCCGGGCAAGCACTGTGTTTTTGAAACACCAGCATACCATCGGCAGTGTTCTTAGTTCAAAGACAACAGATGACGACTTCAACAGCGTAAGCTGTTACGTGGAGGCTCTTCACAAGATTCAATTTCGGAGGTGATATCATCCACCACTACTGCCGGTATCCGTAGCAGTTTTGGCTAATTTATTAGAAAAATGAATTTGTCTTTACCTACCAAGTTTTAACCGGCTTAGTCTTTGTGGGTGTCAAGTATATCTACCACAAAGCCACGCTAATCCCCGAAGATGCTTCGAAGAAATAGCCATAATGCCGGGCCAGAATTCACGGCAGCCACCATGCAAATATTTCATGGTAGAAGTGCAGAATTGCACCAGGCATCAAGCTGTGTCAATCGTGCAACAATTGGGTGGTTTAACGCAGCCACTTCAATACCAAAGGGCTTCGACCATAATTCACTATCATCAGCCACAGCATAAACAAAGTGTGCAACTTCGTACACTCTTAAAAAAAAATGGAGTGACGTACTCTCCATTTAGGGAGGAACGGCGATGTCCCCAATGTTCGTCTTCAAATAGAAAAACGTTGCTCCCTCATCCACGGAGAAACACGTTCCTCCTTACGAAAATCAACATGGCTGCCCCCCGGCGAAGCGAGTAGGCTTAGCAAATGCAACGATTCTCGATTGGTAAGGAGTACACGGCACTGAAAGTTACAAAAAACGGTCCCGCTGAGCTTGATATTGAACGAAATTATTATAAAAACAAGCAGACGAACCTGTGGCGGTGAACACATCGCGAAAGAGAACGATGGAGCAAGTACGTTTCGTTCGGTCAGCGAAGCCACGTTCACTCCGAAAGACACGGTTTCTGCAGAGCCCTCACCTGAAGAGTGCATGCTAGGCTTGCTGTATTTATTTCTCGCAGATTCACATAGTGTAGCGACGTTATCCATGCGCTTACGGGTCCGCAGGTCACGAGATGTGCCTCCAAACCGTACACTCGATCGCAGCGAAACCACTCTGAATCCGTAGTGCAGCTTTGATAGATAGATGTTCAACGATATATAAATGGCTGGAGGTGTGAGAGCGTCATAGCAATGAAGTAGGTGGTAGGTGGCGCCATCTAGAGGGATTGAACAAAGTTAAAAAAAAGTTGACTGCCGCGGCGTTTGTTGTTATTGCCCACTATCACGGCTCCCTTGCGGATTGTTTACGCATCAACCCATTCGAGACCACTTACGGACACCGAAAGCCTATTATGTGCTGATGCAATCCATATAGCTACACATGCACACATGGTCACATAGTACACAAATTGTACGCAACAAGTACACTAGCGTATACGCTATCAAGTACGCAACAAGAGCACAATCAACCATTCAAAACCAACGGCTCACACCTCGACGTGTTTACTCACACTGAACTGTGAAAGCGCGCCAGCTTATATAGCGATGAATTTCAACTGACCTGAGTGGCACAGATTACAAGTAGGTTTTCTTACACTTTTTTCACGTTTTTTATCAATACCACAACATGCGCACACATAAATATATTGTATCTGATGCTTAGGTAAACTTTAGTTAATCAATGGTTGCACAGTAATGAACGGAATAATTACTAGAGCTTATCAGGTTTTCACGAAGGCGGATGCCCAAAACCGTGCTTAGAATGCCCACGGCAATTCGAACGCTGCGCCATCTGTCAACCACTGCCACAGTTACTTTTTTTTTCTTGAAGCCTCTGAGAGTGCAAACACTTGCCACGCGTTAGCCATTTCGGAGGTCACGTTTTTTTTTTTCTTCTTACTTGGAGAGGGCGCAGCATGCAGACCAAACTTTGTCTCCGTCGTGGTAGGTGTTCTGTGGTCACGTCGACCTCGTTTAGTTGTTTCGTCTTAACGTTTGCTTATATTCTTTTTACGTGCGTACCACAAGTGTGGCCGTTAGCCATGGATATAGTACACCACTAGCCCTTCAATGACAATGTTTTAATGCGGTAACGACCGTCCTAGCAGTGTATACGTACGTTACAACGCGGGTCCTGCGAGATAAATAAGCGATGACCTCGCATCCGACGGTATTTTTTTATTTTTTCGTGAGCCATGACAGTGGCTGTTGGCGTCGCGGGAGCTCTCATACTTGAGTGGAGGAACTGTCGCTGCAGTGCGCAAGTTTACTATAACTTTATAGAATGTTGTGCCTGCATACTTTTCTGCTTCAGATGCCTCTCGCGATTCGCCTCGCGTGTCAACTTGCAATCATAGTGCGTGCCACAATTTTGTTGTTAGCGCTGTGGCTGTGGTGGTTATTACTCTGGATTCGGAATACTCTTTTCACAAAGGTGAGTGAGCGTTAGTACTTACTTGTTGTGCACAGCTGCTACTAGAAGTGCATTTTGTGTTGAGTTTCTCACGACAAAGGAGAATCATGGACGAGAAAGACATACTGCTCGCGTGCATAATTCCTTCCTACTTCTCAGTGCTGGCATGGGCAATTCAAAACGAATGCGATTGAGAATTTGCTTTAATCTACAGAAGTCATTGGTTCACTTTTCACAAAAGTTTAGTTATGATGATGTTTAAAAAGTTTCTGATGGTTGTAATCTAGTCTGGCGAATAAGCGCTCGGTGAAACTTCGCAGCCTGTTTCCCTTTGTGCTTTCACCTGCCGGGGTAGCATAGCCTTATTGGGTGTCGTGTAACTATGCTGATGGACGCAGGTACGACTTCCGGCCACGGCGGCCGTATTCGAATGGGGGTAAACTGCAAAGAACATCCATATGGTGGTTGTGGCACGTATAAGTCTATCAATTGTATATGATCGTACTTTCACGCATGGACTGTAGAGTGGTATCAGGTTTCCTACACTATTGAAAAAATTAGTGTGATGGTTTTTTACGCGCCTCGTTGAATTCATGAGTGCTGTTGGTGCCGTGCGAAACTAAAAATGCGTGGGCTTACCAAGTATGTCGACACCGAAAAAAATCATTATTTTTTTTACACTCTAAGGTAATCGATAAATCAAGACTGCTTGGGAAGCAGAGCTCCTTGTATTCGTGACAAATTGGTAGTATGAAACAACACGAGACACACATGGAAGTGTGCGGAGCATCGTGCGAGTGCCTGACGATAAAAAAAAAAAGAGAGGCTTTTACTCTATACTAATAAAACAAAAGAAAACGTCATTCCTGCATTGCTTACAACAATCTTAGGTTAAAGCAATCGCTCTCGACTGGCCGCGGCCGGCTATAGGCTTGGCGTGCGCATGCGCGCGAGCAAGACCCCCGTGATTGAGGAGTAACTTGAACGCTGAAGGAGGAACGTTGCTCCTTTGGTCCTTGCCGCGAGAGGGCGCGACGGGTAAAGCGCCCGAAAGGGAGGAAGTCGCTGCGCCGAAGGAGGAACGGAGCCCGTTTCTCCAATCTCGCTCCCTTTTTTTTAGAGTGTAGTTGCACATATTGTCGTACACGAGTGCATTCACTATTCAGCAATTCGCATTGCATGTTCTGGATACCAAAGCGCACCTGAGAGTATTTTGATGAATGAGTGCACATTGAAATACTACATTCCGACGTTCCCTATTAAACGTTGTAAGAGAAACGAGACCTTCAAACGTCACTCCACCAGCGTACGCTGTCATTGTGCTGCGTGTTCGGCGTAGGCCTATAGACTTTTCTATCAGATTTATTTACAAGACAATGCACGCCGAAGGGCAATGTTAAAAGATAGCTGACTTTCAAGAGATTCTATGTGTATTGCATTTAAAAAAATCTTTTGAGAAATCTTCCTCGTGCCTTCTCTATGTGGGCGTGACACTGTCAACTAGGTGGTAGAGAAAGCGCCGCAAAATTCTGTCAGCATGTCACAGGCACTGACCTCGCCAGATGTTTCCGTGATTTCGCAGGCACTTATGTTCAATGTGTGGCAACGCACGAGCCTTGATTTTCCCGGTTTCAGCTTCTTAGACAAGAGCTTTGTGAATGCGTCGTTTGTGTAGTTCTGAAAAAAAATAGACAGAAGCAGAGCAATCAGTTCAAAGCTACATTTGTGATGCATGTAAACAGAAAGAAACTTACATCACTTGTAATGAGGCCACGTGTGATGCGCTTAACGTAGTCATTGGTTACAACCTGTTTAGCTGTTCCCCTAGAATAAATTTATATGAAGAAAAAGAAACAACGTTCAAGCAATTACCTAAGTATGCAAGAAACCAAGGCAAAGTAGGCAAAATGGCAAATCCATAAAGCGCAAGCGACAAAGGTTTTATGTCGTCAAAAGCTTTTCTCCTTGTTTCAAGGTGAGTATAATGAGAAGAAAAATAGACATGGCATCAAATAACCAGGGCCGAAGGCTGGATTTCGAGATAGACCAGTGCACGTGTGCCGGTGAAATACAATTGCTGATTATCTGCAACCAACTCTACAGTAACAATATTCAAAGTTTTCATGCCAAAATTTGCGTGCAGCGCCCCATAAATGGCGACAGTGAGGCGTTTTCGTGCGACCAGGTGCTGGCATGCAACCATATTATCTACTGAAGTCTTTGTACTGTAGGTAGACAAAACTGGAGACGAATCCATGGTGTTTAATTGGCCAAATATATTTGTGATCCGGGCGACTTTCTTAATACAGCACTTGATTGTGCCAGTGCATTTACAGGCCATTGTTCTTAATTAGTACTTCAGACTACGGAATGCTCTGTTAGTCCAAAGTTTTAAAAAAAAGTAATGACGAGGGAGGTCATCCTCTGCACTGCTTGTATAAGGCACCATTAAATAGAAAATTTTGACTATAAGTGCTGCTCGTTCATCTTTGCTCAGGACATGGCTGGTACAAAACATAGTAGAAACTTTACTGCGCACACAGACGGTAACGAAGGAAAAAAACACAAGTCATACTGCAGAGTGTGTTTTCTTTCTTCGTCCTCATCTGTGTGCACAGTAATGTTTTCAGTATGCATAATAAGCTAGCCCAGCAACACTTCTCAACATACTTAAATGGAGTGTCAAATACCACATGAATGCACATACTTTAGGATCATATTTATGAGTTACCGAGTACTGTACCGTCAGCTCATCAATCTGAACAGTAGAAAATCTGGCTCATTCTATCATTGTTCACATTACCAGCCTACAAAAGTGCTGCTCAAAAAAGTGATTGCTAGACTGTGAAGATGACTTTATGGTGTAAACACTGCGTACGTACGTAATGGCATCATGGTGCTGTCCGATAGCCAAGGCTTCGCCTGTAACAAAGCATAAAAATACTTTGAATCTCTTCTTTCAGTAGCAAACGCTTACCATTTACATAAAAAATTATTATATTTGACCCACACTGTCAAGGTTTTACACTAAAATTAATCATATGCTAAGTTTCCCGCCTCTCGCAATGCTGAAAATATTACGAGCTCTCAATGGCCACGAGCACTTACAAACGAAAAGCTTTGCGAATTCAGCCTCTGGTGCTAAGGTGATACTCTAAATCAGGAGTCTTGATATAAGCCCGGAGGCCGCATGCGGCTCGCGAATATTTCTCTAACAGCCCGTGGCTTCACAACGAATAAATTTTTGTGACCCTTTGCTAAATTAGACGCGTTATATTTACTTACCGTTTGTAAATATTAAGACTTTGTTCGAGTAGGTGACTGATGCAGGACTGGTCTCGAGCATATCTTTTCGTGAGTCACCCCGTGCTGTCCATATACGAGATGCAACCGCCGGACAAATCTCTATTTTAGAGTCGACTTTCAGGTTGGAGTCATTGTGGAGAACAGTGTCGATATATCCTGACATCAACTCCACTTTAGAAATTATTCATATTTGAGATATAGGAAATGCGTTCTTTCAAATGGCAGCGTTTAGTGACACTTTGTTCTAACTCCCCTCCCCTCACTTGAGCGTTCTTCATGGTCGCGGCCCTTGCGGTAGTATATGTCCTGACTGTGGCCCATTAGCTGAGCCGAGTTTGAGAACCCTGCCCTACTGACAGGCTTTATGACATGATTTGACCGCAAATAACACAAACACAAAATAAAGAAACACTCAACGACAAGCACAAGCGGCACTTTCAACTAAAGCAGACCGGGTGATAATCCAGACTTAAGTAACAACACAGACATCCGCAGTCTTCAGTCTGCCCTAAACTAAACAAACGAACAAGGTCTTCTCAACTCCTAAAGCCTCAGGGCATTTCATTTACTGTACTGGAGTGGCACAGATGGCAAAATCATGGTTGATCTCTCCATCATGGGGATTGGTATATGTCACAGAACGAGCGCTAAAAATGGGCGCGCCGCCAAATTCTTGCGATAACGGGCGGGAGAAACGGCGCGAGGTCAAAAGAAAAAAAAAGAAAACAAACATCTAAAGGCTCCCCGGGGCGCGCGCTCTCCCCTCGGAAGCGTGGCTTCACCGACGAACCTCCTCGCCCCACATCGGCGGCCGAGATAGCCCGCGAAAGTTCCAGAACGAAAGGGGCGTGGTCATACCGAGTTGAGTCATCGGCCGCGGAGGGCGTGCCAACCGTCTTGCCCTCTTCCCAGCCTTCGCTGCGTATCGCGCCGACGAAATGACGAGAACCGTCTGGAATGTCGCGCGCAAGGTATTTAACCGAGCAGCCGAGATGAGAGATCAGGAGGAGACGGAAGTTAGCGCCAGAGCGCGTAGGGATACCGCCGTGTAGTCGGCGAAGTTTTTGTCGGTAGCGAAAAAGCGGGAGAAGAAGATGATTTGCACCTGAGGGGTGACGACTCGAGCTACAGGCAAGAGTGTGTGTTTACCGCTATCGAGCGAGGACGCGTGGCGACAGCTGCGTGAGTGAAGCCGACGTGTTCGGGCGAAGAAGTTGGGAGCTTGGAGAGTGGCCAATTGAAGACGCGAGGTTTCCTGGAAGAGAAGCTTCGAGGGCGCGGAACGACAACAACGCGGGACTTTGAGTGAGTGATTCTCGGAAGAGTATCATCTAGACTTTTGCTCCAAGGACTTTGGACTGAATAGGTTTTCTATCTCTTTAGTCCTTAAGTGTCTTGGTTGTTCAATGCATGCGACTGCATTGTAGTGCGTATCGTTGTCTGTGTCCGTTGTTTTGAGTGTGGCTGATTGTACTGTGTAGTACGTTGTTTGATTGGTGACGTATTGTATGTAACTATTGCGGAGTGTGCATTCTTGTGTATTGTTTTCGATCTGCCATTTTCGAGAATATAATATTTGTTCTGTTTATCAACTCTCGGCTCTGACTTGTTCTTTGGGCCACAACCGGCGTCCGCTGGCACGCCAAAAAGGACCACTTCCAAATTGTCCACGCTTTCGTGGTGCGGTTCGGGGGGCCGATACTTCGGCTCTTGGAATTAGCCCGGCGATTGCCTCCCTCATAAACGGGACATGTGTGACAATTAATCTGGCGTCCGCGACACAGGACCTTTTGGTGCACAGTGTGTCCAAAGTAGTGAGAAAGAGCCTCGAGTTGTTGATACTGCTATCGGAACGATTTTGTGTGTTGTGCAGTGTTCTCGTTAACGAGTGCAGTGGAGTGTTCCGATAAACTGATTTAGGCAGATACTTTTTACACGCGGCAAGACTTTATTTGCGAGACACCATGGATCTCGAAAAGTTAGTAGCTCTTGGTGAGAAGATGGGTCTTTCTGGTGCCGAACTACGGAAGTGGGTAAGACAGAAGGAGAAAGAGGCGGTGGAGAGAGATAGGTTGGCAGCTGAGAGAGCCAAGGAAGAAAAAGCAGCCGAGTTGGAGAGAGAGAGGTTGGCAGCTGAGAGAGCCAAGGAAGAAAAAGCAGCTGAGTTGGAGCGAGAGAGGTTGGCAGCTGAAAGGGCGAAAGAAGAAAGAGAGGCAAAGGAGCGACAGCTGAAAGAAGAAAAGAGAGCAGCAGTTGAAGTTGGAGCTGGAGAGAGAAAAGCTGGCCGCTGAGAGGGCGAGAGAAGAAAGGGAGGCAAAGGAGCGACAGCTGAAAGAAGAAAGAGAGCAGCAATTGAAGTTGGAGTTGGAGAGAGAAAAATTGGCAGCCGGAAGGGCGAGAGAGGAAAGAGAAGCGAGGGAGCGACAGCTGAAAGAAGAAAGAGAAGCGGAGATGGCTGAAAGGAAACGGCAGCGGCAGCACGAGATGGAACTCGAGCGGCTCCGGTTGCAACAGCGAAGTGAAACTCCCGTCCAACCTAGAGTTGAAAGCAGCGAACGGGAAGATCATGGCTTCCGCTTGAACCCAAGCAAGCTGCTCGTGTCGTTTGATGAAAGGAAGGACGACCTTGACGCGTACCTTCACCGATTCGAGACGATTGCGAAGAGCCAGAATTGGCCAGAACATCAATGGGCAACTGCTTTGAGTACTTGCTTGAGTGGTGAAGCGCTCAGTGTGTACGGTAGGCTGACGCCGACGGATGCAGCCAACTATGCAAAGGTGAAAGCTGCTTTGCTGAAGCGATTTAGATTTACTGTAGAAGGATTCCGGGACAGATTTCGGACAGGAAAGCCAGCTGATGGTGAGACGGCTACGCAGTACGCCGCCCGACTTAGCCATTATTTGAACTTTCAGGGACAGCGCAGGAGTACGATGAACTTAGAGAGCTCCTAATTAGAGAACAATTTCTTACTAGTTGCCACCCAAGCATGTCGCTGTACTTGAAAGAGAGGAGAGCTAAGTCACTTGAAGACATGCTTGAATTAGCTGATCAATTCTTGGAAGCGCAAGGTGGCACTAATTTGGCCAGAGTCAAGAAGGATTGTCCCGATGATTCGAAGAAACTGACTCCCGAAGAAAAGAAGCGTGCACCAGAGAGCATTCCGCGATGTTTTCTGTGCAACCGAGTGGGTCACCGTGCTAACCACTGCCGAACTAACTTCACAAGCCCCACGGTTGTAAAATGTTTCAAATGTGGTCAGACTGGGCACAAGGCAGACGCATGTCGTAACGGAGAGAGTCAAACTCACCAGGTATCCTGTGCACAAGTGGCACCAAAAACCGTTGATGACGTCACCGATGGATTCGTAGAGTTGAAAAATGGGGAGAAAATCCCTATTGTGGGTGCGGTATTGACAAAACAACAAACAGGTGCTACGAAGGGAATGCCTGTGATGGCTGGAAAAGTGGCGGGAAGGCGTGTAGACGTCTTAAGAGACACTGGGTGCTCCACTGTAATAGTACAAAGAGACCTAGTCCACGACGACGAACTCACGGGCCAGACCAGCCTGATTTACACCGTCGACCGTTCGGTTATGAGGCTGCCTGAGGCCAAGGTCAAGATCGAGACGCCCTTCTACAGTGGAATTGTTTCTGCCTTCTGCATGGATGATCCATTGTATGACGTAATCGTGGGGAACATCGAGGGCGCCCGTTCGCCGGACCAACCCGAACCACTGGAAGAGGACCCAGAAATCGATCCACCATCGATTGCAAACCCTCACGACCAACCAGCCACGGGCGATGAGGACGTAGTCGCAGTTGCGACCCGAACACAGACCAAAGCCCAGTCGAAGCCATTCCAGCCCCTCCCTGCACTCGATTCCGAGGAGGACCCGAGCTTCAGCTATGCCGAGGAACAAATACAGGACGAGTCGTTAAAACCCTGCTTTGCGCAAATCGACAAGGACCTCAGATGCCGTAATAGTAAATGCGCGATAATGTTCAAGCAGGAAGATGGACTGCTCTACAGGTACTATACGGAGAGGAGTGGTCGGCGGATACGACAGCTGTTGGTGCCGAAGAACCGCCGAGAGGCTGTTATGAAGCTAGCCCACGATGGGATAATGGCCGGGCACCTGGGAGCCGAGAAAACCAAAGTAAGAATTCAGGAAGAATTCTTCTGGCCCGGTGTCACAGCCGACGTGAAACGGTTCGTGGCGTCTTGCGATATCTGCCAGCGAACTGTGCCAAAAGGAAGGGTGCCACACGTGTCACTCGGCCAGTCTCCCGTCATAGACATCCCCTTTAAAAGGGTAGCTATTGATATAGTAGGCCCTATCCGACCTCCATCTGGTCAAGGAAACCGCTATATCCTGACTCTCGTCGATTGCGCCACGCGCTATCCGGAGGCAGTTGCACTACCTGGCATAGAGACCGAACGAGTCGCAGAAGCCCTCGTTGAGATGTTCTCCCGTTTTGGTGTACCGAGGGAAATTTTAAGTGATAGGGGCTCGAATTTCACGTCGGAGTTAGTGAAGGAAGTGGCACGACTTCTATCAGTGCGCCAACTCCATACCACCCCTTACCACCCGATGGCCAACGGGATGGTGGAAAAA